GAAAAGAGTATTTGTACTGCCTTACTTAACTTGGTTACATTTGTATCTATCCAAAAAATAACTATCTTATTTTTATCTACTACCCTTAATATCATCATGATGTTGAAAAGAGTGATAATTTTTCCTCATTTTGTAATTATGTTGCTCCAGATGCGTGGGAGCAAGCTTCATGGCAAGTTTAGGTATGTTGGGTCCTGTACATAATGGATGCTCTTTTGTTGTTGCTTGATTGGATATTTGTAATTTTTTAATTGCATAGTAGTTTACATCATCTTATTGGTTTAAATAACTGTTCATGTGGAGGCGTCACCATTTTCTTATGTTTTTCTAAAGTAGGTGTTGAATATTAATGCATTTTGGCATTTGAAACATCTTCAATACTACATTGAACTTTCAAACTCCCTGTTACTTTTTTATTATTTTCCCCCAAAGATGAATTGTTGTGCAGTTATGCAGTGTTGTGAATACAATTATTTAATTAATGTTTTTCAATGTGATCAGTGCTCCTCCACCGCCTCTTCAGGCCGGGACATTTTCTCGTGGTGTTGTGACTATGCGATGTGATGTATCAACGTGTAGTTCTGCGCACATCTCACTTCTTGTGTCAGGCAGTGCACAAACTTGCTTTGATGATCAGGTAATCCTGAAGGACTTGTCTGGAAAAATTCTGGTAGTCGGAGCTGTTCAACTTTTACACCTTGTGACCTGTTTATTTTCAGCTTTTGGAGAATCATATAAAGAATGAGGTTATTGAAGAGATTCAACTAGTACGTGCACTGCCCAACAATGAGGGAAACAAAGTACCTCTATCTGAACCACGGAAGTCTGCTTCGATTGCATGTGGGGCTACTGTATTTGAAGTATGCATGAAGGTTCCAGCATGGGCTTCACAGGTTTTTACCTACTTCCTTCCCTGTCTTAAGTCTTTGCCATCATGATATCTGGTAACATTTTAAGAATCTGAAAGAATTGTGTGAATTATGCCCCCTTTTATTAATTTTGACTCTACTAGTCACCACTCACCTGCCCAATCTGCGGTTGTAATCAAATTCATCCCTCTTTTGGTTGGGTATTACAAGGGATTGGGGTGGGCTAACTTGTATAGAAGGCATGAACCTCGTGAAAATGGAGATTCTGCTTTTATGGCTTCCACATCAGTGCTTGGGAAGATCGAAGGAGCATTCTATTAAAAAAGCAAATTTATCTTGTTGGCTTTTAGATCGTCAGTGTTCAGTTTTTATTTAGGTTGAATAAAAAAGAGGCAATTTTTCCAATATTTTATGTAACTGCTGTATTTGCTGCAACTACAATTTCAGGTTTTGAGGCAGCTCGCACCTGATGTTTCCTATCATAGTTTAGTTGCACTTGGGATTGCCAGCATTCAGGGATTACCTGTTGCTTCTTTTGAAAAAGAAGATGCTGAGCGCCTTCTTTTCTTCTGTTCAAGTCTGGGGAAAGATAATAAATCGAATGACTTCATTCTCGGCAGCCCTCCTACTTGGTTGAGACCACCTCCTCCTAGTAGGAAGAGATCTCAACCATGCCAAGAGACGAGCCGGGGTTCTAATTACAGCCAGAGGCTTCCAAGTCTAGCTGCTTCTAAAATAGACGAAGACAACAAAGAAGCTGGAGCCATGAATGGGGTTAGCACGCCTTTATTTCCACCTAGGCAAAGATTGAAAATAGCTGCAATGAGGCCCATTCCTCATGTTCGTCGTCCTAAAATGACACCCTTTTCTGGAATGTCTGAGTTAGATGGGCACGATGGAGGCCAATTTAAGGCTAATCTACCTCCTGCTCCCCCTACAAAGCTCAATATTGTTGGATTAACTCCAACAACACAACGAAAATCGTACTCAAGCTCGTCACATTCTAAGCAGATTATTTCCTTGAATCCTCTGCCTTTAAAGAAACATGGTTGCGGAAGAAGCCCAATACATTCTTGCTTAGAGGTGAGTTATTTTCTTTCAAAATGTTAAATCAGTTTGTAGGTGTTGAACAAGTTCGAGAGGAACAACCAGCTCTGCTTCTATATATTATACACACAGTTAAGTAACTATATATGTCCACAAGTAATCAACATATTAGCCCTTCCATGCACTCTCCGCATGCTGGAGATTGTTTTCCTCATGTAGGCTGTAATCATGTAATTAAAATTAGTATAGATGTAGATCATAAAATAAAATAACTGTCAAGAAAGAAAGTGGGGTAGTGTATGAGAAAATCAAAATAGGGAATAGCTACTTTTAAAATGGTAGTGGGAATTTTTATTATTTTATTATTTCAAAAGATGTAATTTTGCTTGGAAAACAAGAATTGGTACGGTATAAGAGGGGATGTTGTGGAATTAAAAAAAGTGGGGACATGAAAGGAGTTCCCTTATTACAGTATGAAATTCTTTTGCATGCTATCCCTTCCAATATAATACCTAACTATTGGGGTTTTACTTTCCTCCTGTTTTTTATTTTTTTGTTGCAATCACTTGCTTATGATGACTTTTTATTTATCCCTTGAGCAGGAGGAGTTTTTGAAGGATGTAATGCAGTTTCTAATTCTCCGAGGACATAATCGACTCATTCCTCAAGGTGGACTTGCGGAGTTTCCAGATGCCATTCTCAATGGAAAGCGGCTTGACCTCTACAACTTGTATAAAGAGGTGAACTGACCAAATTCCTTGGCCAGGAATTAGGTTTCACTTACTGAAGAAGATATATAGAATTTAGTGAATTTTGTTATTGAAGGATGAGGTGTTTGTCAGGTGGTTACAAGGGGAGGCTTTCATGTTGGCAACGGCATCAACTGGAAAGGACAGATCTTCTCAAAGATGCGCAATTACACAATGACCAATAGAATGACTGTATGTCTATAATCTCCCTTTGGTTTTGTTTTTAACTTTGAAATAATTAATGTTTCAAGATTAACGAAGAGGTAGTAAGGTGACTCTGGGCCTACCTGGGAAGGAAAAAGCATATCCTATTAAAAAAAAATGAATAGGTGGCACCAGAATTGTGAAACAGTTAATTCTGTGTCAAGAGTTGTGCTGACTCTGGGCCTAACTGGGAAGGAAAAAGCATATCCTATAAAATAAAATAAAAATGAACAGGTGGGACCAGAATTGTGAAACAGTTAATTCTGTGGCAGAGTAGTGCTTCTAGAATGTTTGGGGATTCTTTCCAATTATCTTAGCTCAAATACCAAAAAAGTATGTAATCACTACAGGATGAATAGACCAAGTCACTCCTTTATGTGAAGGGTTCAGTAGATTGTAACACATCAATTGATACAGGTGAGTATGGTTCTTGTTTTCACAGGGTGTTGGAAATACACTTAAAAGACATTACGAAACTTACCTCCTAGAATACGAATTGGCTCATGATGATGTAGATGGAGAGTGCTGTTTATTGTGTCACAGGTTAGCATTTATCCCATCCAAATTTTTTTACTTCTCCAGTGTTGAAATGTTTTAACTTTGATAATGTCTGCTTACATGTGATTGGAAACTGTTCTGCAGTAGCGCAGCAGGAGATTGGGTGAACTGTGGAATATGTGGTGAGTGGGCCCACTTTGGCTGCGACAGAAGGCAGGGTCTTGGTGCTTTTAAGGTATCATATCACAATCTCAATCTCCGTGAGCACCTTGTGGTTGTCAAGCTAATCCTTTGGCTTTTATATGTTAATCTTTTGTTTTGACTTTGCAGGATTATGCAAAAACAGATGGACTGGAATACATATGTCCGCATTGCAGCATCAGCAATTTCAAGAAGAAACCACAGAAAATTGCAAATGGTTTTTCCCAAGGCTCAACGGTATCACGGCCACTGTAATTCAGTTTTGGTCTTATAACATCATAGTTATATTCTTTTCCTTCTGGCTCTCTGATTTTGAGTTTGCTTCCTTCCCAATCTGGCGCGGGAAATTGTTAAATTGTCCGGCTGATCAATTGCATTGATGGTAAAATAGGAGACAAAAGATGGGGGGAGGACAAAGTTAGAAAAAAGTGTAGTAGAGCATACTAGTTAGTGTAGGCATTTCATTTTGGGTGGGAAATTTCTGTCCTATTTTTGGCTTTAATTTCTGTTTTTTGTTTTTGTTTTTTTTTCCCTTTGGGGGAGGAGGGGATTGTGGTTGATAGTCAAGAAATCCCATGATTCAGAAGGGTCGTTGTAATATAATTCCGCTATCGATGTGAACATATATGACTTATGTAGCGTTTAATGAAAGATTATGATATACTGACTTAACTCTCTCTCTCTCTCTCTCCTCCCCCCCCCCCCAAAACCGTTTATCAATTCTTCCTCCTTCTCCCCTAGGGAAAAAATTTCAGTAGTGTCCCATAAGGTCACTTTGCTTAGATTTGTGAACCAGTTTGTGTTGTGATGGGCGGGGCAAGGCTAGGCGCGTTTGCCCTCATATCTTTGTCCCCTGCCACCATTTCTTATCTCCGTCTCCATCTCAAAAGGCCCTGGATTAGGAGTTTTCCTGTTCTTCTCCTGCCTCTGTTTTTCGTGGTCATTTTTATTTTTGAACTTCTTGGGATAGAACACAACCCTATTTTCATCACACAATACAAATTGTAGCCACTTTATATCACTGTCAATATACATTGCACACAAAAAGTATAAGTTTCAATTTTTAATTTTATTTTTAAGGAAAAAAGAAAAGGTCTGGTGGTTGAAGTGAGAATGAGGAAGAAGGGGGTGAATCGATGGGAATGAGAGAGATTAAAATTAATAAAGGCTATGCATAATAAATTTATTTTGGAAAAGAAAAAGAAAAACAAAGATTGAGTACCGAGAAGCACAGAATACAAAAACACAACGGTAAGGTAAAATTAACCTCTTGGAAGTAAAAGTGCCCATCGTTTGGGAAATTGTCAATAGCCAACACACATTAATTTCTAATACCATGCATCCAAATAAATAAATTGACATAGAAGCCAGAAGGGTAAACTCTAATTGACAGAGTCCCCTGCTCTCAAAAGTCTTATTGAAATTAAAGAAAATGAAGGGAACATCAAGCTCTGGTGAAGCTCTTGATTTGGTGGATGAGTTCTACTTTTCAGCTCTTCATGATGAGGAAGAAGTATTTCCCATCTCAGATGAGAAATATGCACAAGAATTGCAGCTGCAAGAAGCCCTCATGTCCTCTGTAATCTCTTCAATAACTCCCAAAATTTCTACTCAACCCCCCAATAGAGAGGAAGATGTTGAAACCCCCATGAAAAAACAGAAGGGGAAGGAAAAAGAAACCGGCCAATCCTCTGAAACTTTCTGCTTGATCTGCATGGATGTAAAATCAACCCAAGAAATGTTCACAAACAGTGGCTGCAACCACTCATTTTGCACTGATTGCATTGGAACATATGTTGGGACTAAAATTCAGGAAAACATTTCAATGGTGAAGTGTCCTGATGTGAAGTGCAAAGAAGTGCTGGAGCCACAATCATGCCGGTCTATTATTCCCAAGGAAGTGTTTGATAGGTGGGAAAATGCTCTCTGTGAGTCTCTGGTTTTGGGGTCTCAGAAATTTTACTGCCCTTTTAAGGACTGTTCTGCTTTGCTGGTGGATGATGGAGAGGTTGTGACTGTCTCTGAGTGCCCGAATTGTCGGAGACTGTTCTGTGCTCAGTGCAAGGTTGCATGGCATGCTGGGATTGACTGTGGGGAGTTTCAGATCTTGAATGAGAATGAGAGAGAGAAGGAAGATATCATGGTGATGGAGCTTGCAAAGAAGAAGAATTGGAGGAGGTGTCCCAGATGCAACTTCTTTGTGGAAAAGACTGATGGCTGCTTACACATTACATGCAGGTTAGCAAGCATTAATTTATATTTTTCTTTTTTCTCAAGTGTTCAATAATCTGATCTTCTTATTGGTTTCATGATTAGATATATATTCTGTCTACTATGAAGAAACACTTCACTACATTGTTTTGCAGATTGAGGAGGCTTTGATTTACTAGTTTCATGTATGTGGTACTTAAATTTTCACTCTTATTTTGCTTTTTTAGGTGTGGATTGGAGTTTTGCTACGGGTGTGGATCATATTGGCCTCACAGCCAATTTTCCAGTCATGTATGTTCAACAGCTTGAGAACTTTATAAGCCAAATAATGAATAGGAGCATCCTTTCAGAAAAAGAAATATAATGAGGGATTTGATCCTTGGTTGTATTTTGGGGGTTTTCTATGCCATATTATGTGATAAAAATCTTGACTGTATTACATCATGAGATTTGTTGAAACTATTGCAATATGAGATTTGTGAGGAAGGAATTGTAGCTGCTTATTAAATTGGACAACAGGACAATGTATTGTATCTACATGGGTGAGACTCATTAGAGAAGGGACTTGAACTCAACTCCAATCCAGTCTGTGTCCAAACGATACCTAAAGGGCAAACATATGAAATGGACAAAGTTGTTGACAATTAGATCAAGGAGGGAAAAGAAAAACATAATTATCTATCCAAATTGCTTGCATCTGGAGAAAATCTGAATAAAGAGTTATACGTATATTTACATATGCAGTGAATTTATAAAACATAATTTACATTAACAATTGTACCCAACATTCATAACCATTTGATTGGTTCGAACCTCAACATTGTGTTTCAACTGGCGCAAGGCTGCCATGTATTCCTCCAACTCCTCTAAACTAGTGGTCATCTCAATCGGCTTCTCCCACCATTCATAACACCATCCTCCTCTTTCTCCATCAATATTGTTATCAATATCATCAATATTGTCAGTATTATTATTCATCACACGCTTGATCTTCTCTATCTCCATGTGCCTCCTAGCTTCCATATAATCCTCTACTTGTTTATTACCATTGCGCATTATATTCACATGCGAAGAAATATTGTAAGGACAATAGCGAACTTCGCCGTTTACATGATGAATATCTGGCTGACCTGCATGTAATAATGAGGAGGCATTGTGGCCGAGGTAGCGGTGGATGACGGTGTCAGCTGAGGGGCTGCCGAAGCAGAACACCTTGCCGTTGCTAGACACGACGATCCCCGCTGTCTCTGCACCGCACAAAACGCTGAGCTCGGCGGCTTTGTTGAACAGACCCCTTTTGCGCTTGGAGAAGGTCACGTGACGCTTGTTCTTCTCTTCAACTTTCTTGATTTCAACCCTTCTTCGACGTTTGCTTGGCCTTTTTCCATTGATATTGTCATCGTTTGTGATCTCAATCTCAGCAGCACCCCTCTTAGCCATGGTAGGATCAGTTCTCGGCCTTTTCCCATTGATATTGTTATCGTTTGTGATCCCACTCTCAGCAGCACCCATCTTAGCCATGGTAGGATCAGTTATCTGCCTTTTCCCATTGATATTGTCATCGTTTGTGATCTCACTCTCAGCGGCACCCATCTCGGCCATGGTAGGATCAGTTATCTGCCTTTTCCCATTGATATTGTCATCGTTTGTGATCTCACTCTCAGCAGCACCCATCTTTGCCATGGTAGGATCAGTTCTCTGCCTTTTCCCATTGATATTGTCATCGTTTGTGATCTCACTCTCATCAGCACCCCTCTTAGCCATGGTAGCACTAGTTCTCGTGATATTAATGGCAAACCCTAGAGGGAAGGAAACTAATGGCAAACCCTAGAGGGAAGGAAACTAATGGCGAACCCTAGAGGGAAGGAAATCAATGGTGAACTCTAGAGGGAAGGAAATCAATGGCAAACCCTAAAATATTGTGAAGCAATCTTGGAGATAATATGGTAGGTAGCTCTAGGTTTGGTTATGTTTTGTTATGAAGGAGATCTCGTTATGAAGATGGTAAGTGGTATATATAATGGTAAGTACCAGTGACTTGACTATGAAGCATATAATTAAGGTCTGTTTTTCGGAAGTTAATTTCTAAAGTTTAGGGCTATAATCAATACCGGCAGTCTAAATTATAAGAAAATTACTTACCTAATCTCACTCAAGAGAATACTTACCTTTCTTTTTTTCCTTGAAGTTTAGGGATTCTTTTATTAAAATACGTATTCTTTTGTGTTACTTACTTAGAATGGGAGAACTCATGAACCAAAAAAACAAGAAACAAAAAGAATGAATGGGCACCATCTACACACCGCCTTCTCCACCCCACAGATCGTCCCCCTCCTGAATTCAACCTCCCCAATCGCCCCCTCACGTCTCTTTCCTCCGTCCAATGGCTAATGAGTGTTTCTTTTCCTTTTTTTTTAAAAAAAATAATTATTAATCTTATCTTTTGTTTTTAAATTGATATTATGTATTTTTCTAAAGAGTTTAGTTTGTGATTGGTTTAGTTTTTATGTATTGACCTTTTCCAGTATTTAATCAAATAAATCTCTTTCTTCTATATGGCTCCTACACTCCCATAACACATGTTGTATACCCTCTCATTATTATATGACTAATCATGTAACGATAGAGATAAAGAGAAGTGTTGAAGAATATAAAGTCCCACGTCTAAAATTTTTGCCCTACCCTATTTGACAAGAAGGATATATAAGTTAACATGTGCTAGGTGCAAGGGAAGATTAGGATGTGGCTTGCGAGGTTGGATGGACAGGATAGAAACAGAATTTTTCTTTCATACAATCAATTGTATGCAACCGGTGATACCTAAGAATATAACTCATAAGGGAGACACTTGCAAGTATTATCATGTAATAATATAAGAGTTTTTCTATTTAAACTATGCACTTCTCTTTGTTATTTTATTCTAAGTTCACCCTAATTTCTAATTCAAATTTTCACAATTTTTAAGAAAACCTCACTATTCTTTCCAAACTATCCATAAATACACACCTACCAGAAAAAAATAAATAAATAAATAACCCATTAACCTCACACCCCACACTCCGCTATCTTACTCTTCTTCACTACTTTAAGTTCATCTCAACCTCACATTACTTAAAAGAGATAAAAACACTTTTGTCAAATGTGTAGCAACATTATTTTATTATTAATTTTTTTAATTTGTTAAATTTTCTTGTTCAACGAAGCAAACTCATGTGGCAATTTCCAGATTATATATCAATCAAAGGCTTAGGTAGGCATTGTTTCTTCACTTCGCAATCAAGGTCTAGTTTTTTTTCCCCTCCAGTTTTGTTTCTTTGATTATGATTATTATTATTATTATTATTATTATTTCTAATTTGTTTGTTTGATTATGATTTACCGTATTTAGGGTTTGTGAAGAGAATATGAGAGTGGAGTAGGTTTCTTGGATTGAAAGAGAAGAGTAATCTGACAATAGGATGTAGAGGAGTTTGTGTTTCTAAAACTTAATATGAAGATTAATGGTGGGGTGTATGGGGTGTGTGTATAGATGTACTAGAGTTAATAATAAAACTTAAGAGCTTAATAATATAAGTATTGAGGTGAACAAAGAAAAGTACGGAGTTTAAATTAAAAAACTCATACATAATTATGTATAACTAGTGAGAATTACCCGTAAAAGAGGCGCATGCAAGTAGTTTTGGGAGAGATGTTGAGCTCATTCCTCCTAATTTCCTTACTTCTTTTCTTTCTTTATTTTGTTATAAAAAAAAATTTGTCTAAAGGCTTGTGAATTTCAATCATCTTGCACATGATCAGTGCTGTAGCCAAGCCATGAACAAATAAAATGAATAATGGGTGTCCAGAGCAAGTTTTGAAGTCTTCATAGAACTTTACCAATCAGTGATTATGGGCTTATAGAAAAACTGGCAACCCAAACAAGTAAACTAGACACACTTAATGAAACCTAAAACCTTTGCTTCTTTCTTTCCCCGACATCCGAAACAAAAACAAGAAGGTCAGGTGGTTGGTGACAAATGGGGTCATCCATACACCTCCAATTTAATTTGCATTGACCACATAATTTGCTCATCTGCGGTGTCCTCTCACATATGGCCCATGTATAATGCTGTAGCTTTGAATTTTCTGTCAACAGATAACGACCAAGCTCATGGTGCTTATGCACCAGTTAATTAAAATTAAATTCACTTTTAAAAAGCAGATATGAGCCTAATCAAGTTGGCTAGAGCGGATGTGCTCCTCACTTTGCATCCGACTTCGAATTCCCCTACCATTTGTATAAAAACTAATATAAGGGTGCATATTTCTTGATTTATCAGTGGTTATTTCATTAATTAATGATTCATATTCTCCTTTACCTTAATCACTTCTCTTTCAGAAATAATTCTTTTTCTTTTGTGTCGTTGATTTTGCATCCCTACTTCAGAAAATTTAGGACAGAAGATGCAAGAACCTTCACAAAATCATAAACCCTACTTTGTTTTGAATCGAAACCTAACCTAGAAAGAATGGCCTCTCTTTACTACGACTAATAATTAACTTCTCAATAATTGCATTAAGAAGATCGACCCTACCTTCCTCAGTCATCACCGATCCCTCTGTCTCCCATCTTAATTTAAACCAAAGTATGCATGGTTTCACTGCCTCATGGGGCCTCCATGTCCACCACTTTTGTTTCTTTTATTCCTTTGCTTCACAAAATATCACTTTCAAACTATTTTTTTTCCCTCTTTCCTCAACAAATGTTGGCTTCTTCTTAGGTTTTTGAAGAACAAATATGTGCTCCCTTTTCACTGTATTTATGGCCCCATTGAATTCAAATTCAAAGCCACACCAATACCACAAATGCTAAGCATGTTCATCCAAGTTAACCCCACCTTTGCTTGTTTTGGCTGAGATCTTGAAGATGTGAAACCAAAGAGGACATAAGTCATCATATATATGTAACACTCAAAGAACAAGATGATTGCATCATATATATATATATACAGTTCTGATGGTGGTGATTTCTTCTACAAAGCATGGGCCACCCACCACCATATATTCTTCCAAAATGTCAATGATGATAAGAGAAGATCATGATCGACAACTGTCCTGGCCATGCGTGGTTGCACACTTGCAACTTTGATTGGGTTCCACCTTAGACATCGATCTCAATTAATTAGGCCAAATTCATCATCCTTACTTAAGGGCATATTATTAGTGGTGATTTCGTTAATGGTGCATTTTTCTTGAATTATTTTCGCTTGATTGGTTCTTTGTGTTTTTTTTTTTTTTTTTTGGGATAAAAAAGTGATAGAAGTTTATTA